TATTGATTTGATTTTCTTTTTCTATCAAGAATGTTTTAATACAATGTTTTTTCCCTTTACATAGCTAATTCAATTATAACTCCCTCTAATCCTTGTATTCCAACCCTCCCTGCCAAGCTGCCATCCAATCTCCACAAAGGGTCAGGCATCCCATGGCGAGTCAATAAAAACTGAGACTTCACTTTGAGGCAAGACCAAGGCCCTCTGCCCTATACCTAGACGGAGCAAGGTATTCCTCCAAAACGAATGTGCTCCAAGATGCCAGACCAAGCCAGTTCAAGGGAATAATCCTTGTTCATTGCCAATGATCCCAAGGACTCTCTAAGTCTCACAGCTGTCCTGTGCATAAGTGGTCCTAGGTTTATCCTATGCAGGTTCCCTCATAATCAGTCCAGAGTCATTGAGGTATCACTAGCTTATGTCAGCTCTTTCTGTGGGTATCAACATCATACACCAGACCCCTTTGCTCACATTATCATTCCTCCCTCTCATGAATTGATCATCAGAAACTAGGCCCAATGATTTACTGTGGATCACTGTATCTGCTTCTATTAGTTGTTGGATGAAGATTCTATGAGGACAATGAAGGTAATCATCAATCTGATTAAAGAGGAAGGCCAGTTTAGGTTTCCTCTGCACTATTGTTTAGAGTCTTAACTGGGGCCATCCTTGTAAATTACTGAGAATTTCCATGGTGCCATGTTTCTCCCAAACCCTTTCCTGGTTCCCTCAATCAAGATATTTCTTTTCTTGCTCTCCCTCACTGCCCTTCCCCTTTCTTGAGCATCCTGTCCCCTCATATTTCCTCTTCCCTCTCTTTCTCTCTTCTCACACCCCTTGAGCCCTTCCTCCATATTCCTAAGATTTTCAGGACATCTTGTCAGTTTTCCAAACCCAGGAGGATCCATTCATGTCTCTGTTAGGGTTCTCCTTGTTACCTAGCTTCTCTGGGATAATGGGCTATAGACTGGTTATACTTTGATTTACCTGTAATATTCACTCATGAGTGAGTATATACCATGGTCATCGATCTGGGTCTAAGTTATGTCAGTCAGAATGTTTTTTTTTTCGAATTCCATCCAATTGAATGCTAATTTCAAGATTTCAATCTTTTAACTCTAAGCAATTATCCTTTGTGTAAATATACCATAATTTCTTTATCTATTCTTCAGTTTTAGATGAACCTAGGTTGTTTGCAGGTTATGGGTATGACAAATAATGATGTCATGAACATAGTTGAGCAAATGTTCTTGTGGTAATAGTATGCATCCTTTGGGTATATCACCAAGAATATATTGACGGGTCTTGAGGAAGATTTTTCAAACCACAACAATGTTTTACAAAGTGGTTATCAAGATTGTACTCCCACCAGTAATGGAGAAGGGTGTCTCTTACTCTGAATCCCCTACAACATAAGCTGTCTTTGGTTTTGTTGATCTTAGCTATTCTGACTTGTATAAGATACTGATCACGGCGAACAATGAGGACTGATGAGAAGCCAAGGTCAATGACAAGGGGTTTTGATCCTACTTCATGTTCTGGCTTGGTGGGAGCCTAGCCAGTTTGGATGTTCACCTTCCTAGACATGGACGTAGGGGGGAGGA